CTGCAGCTGGATAAGATCAAGGAATGCAATGATCACCATTAGTACTTTTTTGTTATACTGATCCTCCTATATATTGATATAAGAATTTTCTCTCTAATGATTTTATCCATTGAAATCAGTGGCCCAGCAAACAAAAGTATATGAGGAAATACTGAAATAGCTCCTGAAATTATAATTCAACTGAATAGCATCACTGCCTCAACTATTTGTGGGATGGGACCCCTTCTAAATGTGGAGCCTAAACAATTCCCTCGTAAAACATCCCTAGTTAACTAATTATAGACTGTGCAGCAATATTAATGACTGGTGGACTTCAAAAGCGGTTGGTTTATTTCATTATATGTAATTGCTTGTCTGACTTGGATTTGATTTGCTTTTTCTGTTTGCAAAGTCTTTTTCCATCCAGGTGATGATGAAGGATTTGTGTAAGAGTTATGTTTTGTGTAAGAGTTATCTTTTTGAAAGCTCTACAGATCTCTGGCTAAGATTCAGAGGATTTGCCCATTACTTCCCACAATACTATGACTTCTACTATGACTTCTGGCTGTGTTGGCATTCATTACAGTCCAACAAAAAATAATGCTTTTGCAAAAATCATTGATACTTTTGCAAAAATCATTGATCATTTCGCACTCAGCCAAAAGTCCTGACCACCACTATTGCTTTCAGCTTTTTTTTTTCTTTTTTTTTTTTTGCCATGCATCCACTTTTCCTCTTGAATTTTGATTTGATCACAAGATTAAGACCATTGAATTGGAAAATCATAAACTTAAACAAGCATCACCATCTTTTTCAGCCATCATTTTCCTTTGTGATGCTAGTTCAAATAAAAGTAGTATGCAATAGTGGCGAATATCTGTAGCTCAGGTGTAGGATGAGGGTGAAGGTTCATTCTCCGAGCTTGAGGGCTGATTTCCGAACATTTCGTTACCAGGCTAGGTAGCATCTTCAGTGGAGTTTAGGGGATGTCAGTGTCAGTGTTCTACTTATATAAGGGCTTCAGGTGTGGGAGTGTCAAGTGAGGGTCCTGTGATAGGCCAGGTGTGAGTCATCAGAAAGAGGTTTTGTGATGGGGAGGTACTTCAAGTCAGGGACACTGGAGGGTGTGAATTAGTGGGTGAGGAGTGAGTCATCAGTAGGAGGCTGGTAATGGGTCCTATGATAGGGAGATTATATCAGGTCAGGGTCACTGGAAGGTGAACCGCTAAGGAGAGGGAGAGGGGCTTGAGGGTTAGTGCTGTTGATGGCTGTTTGATTGATTTGGATTCTGAGGAGTTTGTATGCTGGTTGTAAATCAATGTGTCTGTTGATGGAATTGCTTGTGGAGTGCCAAGCTTTGATGAACTCCCAAGCATGGCAGGTGGTAGCATGGCCAATGATTTCAGTGTTGCTCCAATTGAATTGGTGTTGTTTGGTGTCAGTGTGGGTAGTGATTAGGGATTTGGGATCGTGGCGTTTGACTGCTAGCCACTGTTCATGGATCCTGGTTTTTAACTGATGTGATGTTTGTCCCACGTGGAAGTGGTTGCAATCGTTACAGTTGACTTTGTAGATGACATTGCTTCTTTCATCCTTCTGTGTCTTGTTTGGTTCTGGATAATTCCTGGCAGAGTGTGGCTGTGGGTTTGTGGGCTATCACTATTCCTAGGGGTTGGAGAATTCTGGCTTGTCATTTCTGACACCCCTTTTGTGTGTGGTAGGGTTAGTTTTTGCATGGCGGTCAGCTGTGTGGTGTGTGGGTTTGGGTGCTA